ATAATGTTGTGCGGGTGGTGGCCACAATTTTGATGCTGGAGAGGCGGCTGCCTCGTTGCCTGAAGCCTCGTTTTGGGGAGTGTGGGCTAAAATACGGCCTGAAGGAGCTCTGGTATCTCAGGTGAGAGAACACTGCAGTGCCAGGAACAGAAACAGTGCTGTGTGAATTAAATGGGGGAAAAAAAGAATTATTTTGAAACAGCACAAATGTACAAAGCTTATAATATATGTGAAGTGCGGTGATAGTGAAACTAGTGTCTTTTCCCTGCAAATAATCACACTGTGAGACACAAGTTTGTTCATTCACCACAACCTCAGCAGCCACATGTTATGCTGTCCTGTGAGTAAAAAGTATTACTCTCAATTTATTATTGATACTGCTATTATTATCGCTCTCCAACATACAGACAACAACTTTCATTAGTTAGCTGTCCCACACATTAAAAAAGTCCATGGCATGCTCATTCCAGCCATTTAATGCTTAATCTTGGGTACTGCTAAATTAGCTTTCCACCTATCATAACTCCAGAAAGTCTGTAATTAGTTTAGAACGATAATATGAAAAGATAGTTCATGAACACGCACAACTCCTGTTACCAGTGTTGTTTTGAAATCTGTTTCCCCATCAAGATGTGTTTCCCCTAACCTGAATCCTAACATTATCCTGACCTTAACCATTGAGGCTGTCTTACATGAAACTAAGTTTTGAATAGGGGAAACACTTTTCAACTCAAGACTGGTCACGAAGCCAGGACAATGCATAAACAAATAACATTGACAAATAAGATATGTTTTTGACAATGACAATACCTCAATTCCTACTTGACATGTTCGAGCGACAAAATATGAACACCCCAACCCCCCATCCCTCGGTGGTCATGGTTAGAGTGAGATTATGTTCAGGTTAGGGCAGAAACATCTCAGTGGGGTTCAGAGTTTGACACAACACTGGCTTTCCTCTTATTTGGTCTGGTGTCTTTGCTTGAGGTTGTGGAGCAAACCTGGCCCTTTGTACAGGCTTGTGACATACAGTAATTCGCTAATCGTGAATGTTTGAGTCAAATCTGATCACTTGTAGCTGAATTGCTTACAAACAACAGTGGAAGCTCTTTTTCTTGGGATCAATTCCTTCCCCTGATGTGTTCAGTGGATGAGCTTCACCCTCCACAATGTTCTGTTTGTGAGAAACACGAAACACTATTGTGACAAGTATATGAACGTCTCATCACACACATCATCAATACTGCAAGATGACAAATTCATATCATGGGATGGAATTATAGAGGTATGTTGTGAATAATAAACACACCTCTATGGTTTACTCTATCATTTTTGCAGGGTTGAGGATAGAAACGACACAGTAATGCAGAAGATGAGACGATACGTCATGGCCTTCTCCAAAGAGGATGAAAAGGAAAAGGAAGAACTGGAGAAATCTGACTCCCCACAAGAGTCAATCTCAGGAATCTCCAAACTCAGACAAAACAAAAGACCTAGAGACAAACGGAATCTAACAGGCTGGCAGATGATTCGCCTCAGTACTTTGGGTTTGGAACTAGAGCTGGTAGAGCCGAAGGAAGACCAGAACATTAAATAGGTCTAGAATGAAATCCTACCTATGGGTCTGAAGTGTGTAGTATGAGGTTTTCCATAATCTCACAGTCCTTAATATAATACCTAGATGTTAATCGCTGATGACTGTCAATGAACAAAGTTGTAAGAGAATTCAATTGTCTCAGTTACTCTATATAAAGTCAACAGTGCAATTACCTGCAGTATTACACTATAGAGAATAGTGTTATTTTTATAGCAATATAAGACTCCAACATATCAGCACATTGCATTAAGAACTGCTTTGACCTTAAGACCAGATCGTGAGCTGACCATGAGTTGACTGGTCATCTCTCTCCATGCACTGTATATTTGGTATATTTTTATTTATAAAGCTGTTCCAAACAGACCTCTTTCATACGTTTCCTAACTTATTTCACAGAGTTCTTCTTCCAGTTACAATCACAGGACACTTCTCTGCTGTCTGTCTATCCCTAACGAATGGAGAGAGATGAGAAAGAAAACTTTCATATTTTATGCTCCAGCACTTGGAATAGGTTTACAGAGGGAAATTAACAAACTTGGTATCACATGTTGAATTTAAGAGTATTGTAAATTCTGTGGTGAATGATACATTTTCTATTTGTCTGTTTGTAGCACATTTTACTTTATAAAAATGGGTAACTGTCTTTGTAAACTTCTCTGTTCTTCATTTATTTGAAGCCTTCATTAATTATTGATATTATTGTATATTTGTGTTTTTGTGTGGGATTATTCTGTCTGAAACTGTGATGCTGCCACCTTGGCCAGGTCTGCCTTGAAAAAGATGTTGTTAAACTCAAAGGGATTTTACCTAGTTAAATGAAATATTATTTAAAAATATGTAGCAATAATATAATAAGCCAAAATAAAGTGAAATGCAGACATTCAACTTATTATGTGGTTGCACAAACATTTTATAAGAAAATAAAACTTTGCTGAAACAAACTCACTGGCCAAATGTGAAAAAGTCACACTGTAATATATGGAATCATACAGTGTATAACTCGATGAGTGTTTCTAAGTTCTTACAAGCATAATCAATGATATTAGAATACAAAATATGCTACAGAATGCTGCAGGAAAATATAGCACAAAAACTGACTAAGCAGCTCTAAATACAAAACATCTGTTATCTGTGAAGCTTCATTATCTTTCCTTACAGGATGCTATTGATTTTGGTGTGAAGTGGAAAGAGAGATTATGTGAAAAGTTATTAATGAGTAAATCATTGTTGACAGAGAATTGTTTTGCTCAGTCATGTTTTAGAGATGACAGATACTGTTAGAACAGATGAAGTAGGTGTTGGCTTGGCAGGACACTTTGAACCAGTTCTTCTCAGGTGGGCCTCCACTGTTCAGGATCCCAGTCTGCTCTGCCCAGCGCTCCCTCTCCCTGCTCCACTATGCTTTACTACAATCTGCTACTCTTAGCCATGTTCTGCCCAACTCTTCAGATATTTGTTGTTATGACCATAAATGAGAATGCAAAAAAACTTGCTGATTAAGCAGAAATAATTTGTACACAGCAGACGTTATTGATACAACTTCACCTACTGTCAAGATGTATAAACGCAGGAAATCTAACTGAAAGCAAAAAGTCTGGCAACACTTGCAGTGTTCCGGGCAATTTTAATGCAAACACAAAGGACCAATGCATTTTGGCACACATGGCGGGGCAAAAGGAAAAGATCAGCTTAGTCGTTCAATGACCAGATCCCAGGTAAACGAAAGGAAGCTTTCTGTTTTAGAATTCGGCATTTATTTTGTCCCAACTCCATCTGTAAGTCACTTTGAACTTTTTTTAGATTTACACAAATTTCTTAGAGATATATAGTAAGACACAAAGAATGTTTCATGAAAAATGAAACTCTTTACAGCTCAAATTCAAACACCACATTAAATATTAAGGCAATTTTTGTCAACCTAACAATAGAAAGCATTCAATAGAAACATACTGTAGACCTGTAGAATTGGAATCTGAAAATCAGTTCAAAAAGTATAATTTGACAGAGCCAACAACAAGCACTGTCTAAACTTGAGAAAAACAAATCCATTGTCACATGGGCAAAAGTGGTTGAATCATTCACACAACCAGTAATTATTTTATACCTATCATATGACGCACATATGTATTGTTTAGCCGTCTGTATTCTCTGTGTCTTCATTTGAGACAGCAGCCTGCAGGATGTTTCCAGTAAAGACTGTTACAAGTTTGGTAAAGTATGAGAAAAAGACATGTGATTTTGCTATTATTAACAATTCCCGGTTTTATAATCTTAAGTATTTGTTATTATATTTTTGTTTCTGTTTTCTTTATACAACAAGCACAAAGTGTGTTTCCTGTTTTGGGTTGATCAGTGTTCTTGGCACAGTGACAGGGTGATGGGAACCAAGGTCACATCAGTGATGCAGAGCAAACTGGACTTTGTAATATCAGAACACTTTAGAAATAACAGGAACGAACTATTTAATGGTGATATGTCCTGTCTACTGTAGTAGTGTGTAAAGTCATTACCGTGCGCCTTTTTAGAAAACTGTTTGGCTATGGCATCGACGGTGTGACTATTAATTCTTCCATAAAGACCATAAAAATAACCTTGACCTTGGCTATTACCCAAAAGGTGTTGGTCAAACATGACTGGTTGTAATAAGAGTTCTGAAATCTATAAGAGATGTGTGTTTTCCTTGTTTGTTGGTTCCTCTGCAGACGGACCCCGACTTCATTTAAAAATAAATGTAGCAATAAAATAATAAGCCAAAATAAAGTCAAATACACACATTCAACTTATTATGTGGTTGCACAAACATTTTATAAGAGAATAAAACCTTGTTGAAACAAACTCACTGGCCAAATGTGAAAAGTGTATGGAATCATACAGTGTATAACTAGACTAATGTTTACAAGTTCTTACAAGCATAATCAATGATATTAGAATACAAAATATGCTACAGAATGCTGCAGGGAAATATAAACTGACTAAACAGCTCTAAATACAAAACATCTGTTATCTGTGTAGCTTCATTGTCTTTCCTTGCAGAATGCTATTGATTTTGGTGTGAAGTGGAAAGAGAGATTATGGGAAATGTGAGTAGATCATTGTTGACAGAAAATTGTTTTGCTTATTCATCTTTTAGAGAAGACAGATACTGTCAGAACTTAACCTGACAGATGAAGTAAGTGGTGGATTGGCAGGATGCTGTGATCCAGTTCTTCTCAGGTGGGTCTTTACCGCTCAGGATCCCACAGTCTCGTGATGGTGGATCTTCTTTCCAGTAACTGCATAGCACAGAAACAAATTTGTCAGTATGAAATGACAAGTAATGAGAATGAGAAACTTACTGATTAAACAAAAATAACTGAAAATCTCTGACTGCTTAGACACAAACCCTTTTTTGAAGCTAAGATCTGTGTGCTGCTGCCAGTGCTGTTCAATGAGTCTGGGTCATTTCTTACATGTCAACTATGTTTCTTACAATGTCAAGAAAAGTTAAACATTTTAAAATTGATAAAAGCAGAATTTATGGCAGATATTATATAAATCCCATCCTTGAACCGCCACCTTACTGTGGTGGAGGGGTTTGAGTACGCGAGTGATCCTACGAGCTATGTAGTCGGGGGCTCTATGCCCCTGGTAGGGTCTCCCAAGGCAAACAGGTCCTGGGTGACGGGTCAGACTAAGAGCCGCGCAGCCGCTCGTCCTGCACGCGTGCGAGGAGCCGCGGGATAAGTGGGACACACAGTATAGATACCAGCTTTCATCAAACTCGTTTTGACAGTTCTAGGTGAAAGTTTATCCAATCAGAAGCGTTGTCCCCTCCCTTCCTCCCTCCCCCTCTCACCCCCCTCACTCCCCCTCCCACAACAGGTGTAAATTCCATTCCCCCTCCTCCCTCCTCTCCCAGGTCAAAGATCACCCCCCCCGACCTCCCTCTCCTCCCTGGTCAAAAGTTCACCCCCTCAGGTTCTCATACCCCCTCCCTGCGTGCTGACCAGGGGGCACAGCTGCTCTCTCCCTCCTGATAGATGAATCTAACAAATAAAGACCAGGTAATGATGGAGTTTGTAATGTTATATAGTGAATAAAACAAATGGTACATACAGCTAAAACAGAGTAGTGATTTGCAGATATTTAGTTTCAAAGGAGACCCATGGGGAACATGAGACAACGGATGTCCTTGAGTTATTTATTGGGGGTAATTATTTAGATGGTTAAAACAGAGCCTATACCATATGTTCCTCATCACAGCGCTGTGTTTTTTGTAAGAGAGGTGCAGAAAAAACAGGGTAAAACACTCAGACACAAGTCTTACACTCAGTCAGTCAGGTTGTAGATACTTCACACTTTGACATGAATCCAGGTAGCCCTTGAAAAGAAAAAAGTAATGCAATTTTAATTTTTATGTTTTACTAAATGTGTATGTTAACCAAGATCATTACATTCATACCAGAGGCAGCTTATCACAGCATTAACGGTATGCGTCCCTAAGAGCAACGCAGTAAGTATTCTGTTACATTTACAACCCTTTGTATATATTAGATATAATCCTTCCACTTTTTTGAAAAAAATGTTTTTTTTTATCCCGGGTAGACAGCTATTTGAGAGCGTATGAACAAGCTCTACATCAAGAACAATCACTCGAGAGACTAAACTGCGAGGCGTCCGGTAAGTTTAAAGAATCATTTTTTAAATATATACACCTCATGCGGAAAATAAATACGTGTTCTCCATTCTCTAAAAAAGAAACCGGCATGAGTGATGATAGTTAGAAATTCACCCAGCATCTCTAAGAATTATGTCCACATTGGATGATTAGGCATTTCACAATTTTTACCTGATGCTAAAGTAGCATAGAAACACAAGATGCAATGGCCTGCTTAGTAAAACAAACAACAAAGTCCACAGATATGATATACATTTTAGATTTACTGACTTACACCTTCAGAGAATTTCGTTATCTCAGATGTCCACAGCAAATAGCAAAACAGCAAGTGCTGGTAGCACATTCGGTGTACTTACTGTGATGAAATGTAAACAAATATA